CCCATCCAGATGTTTATATTGAACTTCCAGATGTTTTTCTTGCATTTATTCCTTCGTTATAATAAGTAAGGAACTGTCTTCAAACACAGTAAGACTCCTTTAAATCAAAAGAGTTTATACAAAAAGAACCTTCATTTTTTCATGTGTGTCCACATTAGTTTCCCAGTCTTACAGAGTAAACCTCATTCCTGCAAACAAAGAGGATGATCTTACAGGCAGGAAGTCCTAAGTGTCTTTTTACTTCCCAGGAATATAAAGGGTGTTTTGTAAAGAAATTGCGAATCTACTGTTTGCTCTCCCTACATCCTGAGAGTTAAGCTGTGGTGCTTGGCTCAACAGGCATGGCTAATTTTGCCCAAACACCTTTGAGAACTCACATAACACAGAAGGCTAATAGTCAGAATTAGTAAAATACACACAAGAAGGGTTGTTGCTATTATCGTTATTTAAAATTCAGTTACAAAACCTCAGTATTGCAATCTTACAGCCTAAAATCTACAGCCTAGAGAATAATGCTCAAAGATGCATATGGAGCAACATGGCAGAGTTATCCACATTGTAACAACATGAGGTGACAAACTAAGGTTGGATGCTTCATCAGCATTTAGGCAGGAGAAATATAGGCTAGCTTTTTCAGCAGTAACATTCTAAGCTGGTAATTCTCTACAAATGCAGGTATACAGGAACACTTGAAAGACCCTAGCCTTTCCTGCCTTATTCCAGGCCAAGGAAATCCAGACCAGAGCTAGTTTTCCAGGCCTGAGCTCTGAAATCCTTCATTTGCTGCTTTCACTGCTTCTTAAAAAAGCCAAACCTGCATCTGGCCCAGCCAAATGCATTCAGTGTCTAACTATGACCTTCACCAGAAAAACAGTTCAGCTTTGTCTTTAAATGTAACATGAGAAAACGTGGAGAACGGAAGAGAGAATGCCAAGTTTCAGCTGATGTATCTGCTCAGTTTCTGCCTGTTCCCTGATTGCTCATTTAAAGGGAACACTTGGTGGTGGTGAAAGGCAAAGTGTCATTAAGCTGCAAGCCAGACCAGACGTGATTTTATGGCTATGTGCAGTACACAGATCAGTCTCTCCTTAGTCCCAATGCAAAGGAAAGACACAGTATAGAGAAAGAGCTTTATGTTTTTTGTTGCTTTTGAAAGATTTCAAAAGCAGCCTTGTTAGAAGAAAAAAGGGCTCAGCTATGAAATCACTTCCTTCTGTTTAAAATCTTTTACTCAAGGAAAAAAAACACAAAAGAGCATGAAAAAAAAATCTGTTCTCTGCTTTTGACTTGTTCCTAGGATTCAGCATGCCACCCGCTCTGTGGGATGACACAGTGTGCCAGATCCCGACCGCTCCAGCCAGCGCGTCAAGCAGCCACAGCCCTCCCCACACAATCACCCTCTTGTCAAAGGCGGCTGGCATCCTCCCCGCACATGCTGACAGCATCACTGCCTGGAGGACTGCACCCCCTTTAGGGTAGCTCTTCTCCTTTCGAACAAGGCAGCAAGGCACGAGGAGGGCAGGGCATGCTAGGCAGCTAATGAACAAGAAACTCTTGTGTTAATTGCCTCCCCCTCCTGTCCCCAAAACACAGTGAGGATGGGGACAGGGGAAAAGATGCTCTTCTGCGTGCAGGAGCAGCGTGGCTTGGGAGTACAGCCAGGAGGATAACTCCAGGACACCCGTTTATGGAAGTTTAAAAGTCAAATGAACAGTTCATTGCTGCCCAATTCACAAGGGGGTTACTTACGGCTGAGTAGCATTTCAACAAAGATTCTAACATGAGGAATGGTTTGTCTCCCTCTGCCAATGCTGATTCGTTTACCCAGACTCCCAGTTCTGTTTTCTCTTGGATGTCTGGGCACCATCCCTCTCCTCCAAAACGAATTGTCTTCTCCTGTGTAAAGTAGGGTGACACACACCAGCTCCCTTCCCCCTCAGCTATGGGGCAGGAGAGGAGGGAGAAGGATCTTCAGAATAAACTGAAACACTTCCTTTCCCATCTTCACCTCCTGCAAAAAGTTGGTCTCTGCCCCAAACAGCAATGTATTATTACCCTAATCTGCACCATTAAGAAAGGCAGGGGTTCTTTTCCTCTGTGTTATTGAGGTTCATTGATGCAGAAAAAGCCAGATTGCATGAGGTGAGTGTTCAGCAAGTTTCTCTATGCAGCCTAAGACACACACTTTTTCTGCCCTTCCCAAAATAAACTTGCAGCACTACCTTTTGAAGAAGGCGTTCAGGAAGTATGACACTTGAAACAACATCTTCTGCTTATGAAAACTTTAGGCCAGAGTTACAGGGAGACTGCAAGTCGTGACAGAGCACCAGCACACCCACCTGATCAACAGGCTGACCACACCACCTACTCCACACTGAGATATGTCACCTATGCAGCACTTCAAAGTGGTGCTTAGCTTTTTTCTTTAGAACCAGAAAACAATCCTCCATTGGAATGCAAATTCAGCAATATGGGATGGTACTCCTTAGCTAATGGCAATTAATGAACATTTCTTAACACCTTGATACACAAACATTTAACTCCCCAAAAGTCTCTGTGGTTGCCCCCAAGCCTAATTCTTGGCTTCAGTCTATTATTTACTTATTAAATTAAAAAAAACCCAAACACAACCCTACACAAAAACCCCACAGCTGTTTCCCAGCCATCTTTATCTTGCAACACTGTCTCACAGATGGTTAGGATGTGGAAGCATTGCTGCTTCTTTACACTATAGTTCTGAGACTGACCTCCTCCAGCCAAAGAAACCACACTGCTGAAAAAAAAAACTCCAAACCAAACCAAATTAAAACCCAATCCCTTTGTAACATAATACCAAGGTGGGAGCTGCAAGTACAGGGTGAAGAGTGTCACAGCCTAGGAGTGCCTTGCTTCCGCCAAACAGATTTAATAAAACATACGTTATCACTCTTTGTAAACAGTGTTTTATGCAGATTAGAAGACGTGCTAAAGTACAATGTGTGCAAAGCACTGAATGAAGCGCAGCAGTAACAAGAAATAAGTTCCTGTTTGAATTTTGAAGAAAGCTTCAACATGTACTACCTGCAGTCCTGAAAAATCCTGCCTCTTTGAGGAATCAGAGGTATTACTGAACTACATCTACAGCTACACAGGAGTGACATTCAGTTTAGCTAATGTCACTTAACCCTAAGAATTTTTCCACTGTTTCCAGAACAATACCTGAAAAACATATGGTACTTATTAAGGAAAAAAAAGGGTCACTTTATGTTCCCTGTGCACCTGTACTGTTGCAGTCACAGTGAGCGGATTGTACATCTTCCCTCTGACCTCAGCTCATAAGGAGAACAAAAGACAGTACAACAATGCACCCTTCCAGCTGCATACATACCTCTAGTCCCATACATGCTTGGGATTAGCTGACTTCTGATATTTATTCAGCGAATATTTGTTCCTAGAACTCTGCACTGCGTTGGTGTAAGTGCTCACTATTTTCCACCCACTTTTTTTTTTTTTCCCAAGTCTGAGCCAGTCTGTCAGCTCACAGGAAATGCTCCACTGCTGTATGAACAGTAATTCCTTCAGGAGGGAAAACAAGGATCTATTTCCCCAAAATAAGACCGCAAAACCTGAATTTTCCTTGTGTTCTTAACCTCATCTTGCCTTCTGCCAGGAGGATCACGGAGGTGGGGAGGGACAGACTTCCAAACCACCAGGAAGTCAAGAGAGATTTTACCCATCACTACAGTCTCCCTTGCAAACTCATAGATATTCTTTCCCTGAAGAGAAAGACACATAGGAATACATCTTATCAATGGCTGAATAGGTTAGTTAAATGCACAATTCATATTCTGGTTACAAAGCTAATCACTAGATGAAATTGCAACACGTAAATTCTTACACTAACATGTCCGTTGACACAGTGACTCACACCAAACCTCTGCAACTATTCTGTCATGTTTGTGGTAGAAAGCACAAGTCATGGTGTAAAGCTATAAGAATCATGATGTCACAGTGAGAAATGAGGCTAAGTTTTGGGGCTTTCTGGACCGAATACTGTTGCATTTATGGGCTACTAGGGCAACCTTTTGATGCAACTGGGTACTGGAATCTCAGGAGACCCATGTACTGTGCTGGAAGACCTAATAGGTGGGAACATATGCTGGGACAAGGTGTGACAACCTGCACCATCCCTGCCACCTTCAGCTCACTGTTATCTGCAGCAACAAAGAACAAACTGCAAAGAACATCACCAGGCAATGGTACTCAGTAGTCAGGCTGTTCTTCTCCATAAGCAAACAGAGCCCAAGAGAAAACCCAAATAAAGTCATTCACAAAATGACAGGAACCTCCTGGGTCCAAAGTGTGTTACAGTATTTTCCTCACATTTCCCTGTTTTCCAAGCCCTAATGCTTAGGCACCTCCTCAGCAGTGTGCTGGAGAACATCAGTGCTCCGTGTTACAGATACTGAGACGTGCCAAACATTATAGACCTGAGTGAATGGTATATGCAGTCCTGCTTAACATACAATCTTTTCATGACTAGCCTGTAGCCCCTCACTGTTCTCCAGATATCAGAGTTTTCCATGAATACACACACCACCCTTTGGGTAGCAAAAAGGAAGACAAGAGGTACTTCAGTGGAAGATTGAAATTTCTTGTACTATTTTAAGTTTTCAGCTATTTGGCATCTTCAAAGGCGAAAGGGCAAACTCTGCATATGATAGGCTGCTGCGATAGGTTTTAAACATGCATTGCTGCAAAACCCCACCACATTACATCTTGGGGTTCTGGATTTTCATCAGCTTCATACTACAGGGCTGAGTGACTAAGTTTCTTATATCAACTTCCACAATTATGCTTGCTAGTGCCAACACAGTAATGAACTCTGGACGTTCTTATTGTCTGTGCCTCTTCTAGAGTCTTCTAAATGCTGCTGACCTCCCAGAAGCCAGACATTCGTTACTGAAAACACCTGATAAGAAACAGAGTGGAGAGAAAGAGTGGGCAAAGTAAGCACTTACCAAGCACAATGACCACAGTCTTCAGGAGGCTCATCATGGTGTCCCGATTTCTGCGGGGTCCAGAACTGTGTCTGGACATTCTCATAGTCCTTTGGCGAACATACCCAAAGATATGAGCATATAGGACCACCATGACCACAAAAGTGACCAGGTTGAAAATAGCCCAGAAGACCAGGTAGGAGTCACTATAGAGTGGTGCCATGTTGGAGCAGTGAGTGATATCACAAATACAGTTCCATCCGACACTGGGTATGGCACCCATGACGATGGCCATAGTCCAGATAACAACAATTACGACGACCACTCGCCGGTTGCTCATCCGAGTGTGCAGCTGCATTCGGAAAACTGTAATATGCCGCTCAATAGCAATGGCCAACAAATTGGCTACAGAAGCTGTCAGGCTAGTATCAATGAGACCCTGACGGAGAAGCCAGGTGCTTACAGTCAATCTTCTAGTGTTGGGTCCTGTGTTGAACATTAAGTAAAAGTAGGCCAGCCCTGCAAAAAAGTCCGCAGCGGCTAAGTTTGCCATTAAGTAATAAATAGGAAAGTGGAATCGGCGGTTGACATAAATAGCCACCATTACCAAGAGGTTGGCCAGCATTATGAAGATGCAGACGGTAATCCCCAGTCCCATTACAAGCTTGCTGACAGTGTTCCATTCAGTGGCTAGATATTTTCCACTTCGGTTATAAAAGAAGGCAATGGTTTCATTGTAGTAGCACTGTGGTTCGCTCATGGCTGTGGACTAAAAGAAGAGGGGAAAAAAGAGAAAAAAAAAACAAAAAGAGAATTACATCAGAACTGAAAACATATGACTGCCTCCATGGATGAGACATGCATGAAGAACAGGGAGGGGGACAGGAAGGGAACACGCTTCAGAACAAATTTATTTTTTCAGACCAAACGGCATTCCACACCTCGCAAACAATTGCTCTGAGGAGTCTAGTAACAGCAACCAGATTAGAAGCAACCAGAAATGCTTCCATCTGCTCTGGGAGCCAGCAGGACTTCTGATGTAGTCGTAAATTGCATAGAAAATGAGCTTCTGGCCAAGCAGACCAGCTCAAATATTCACTTAAAGGGAAAAGCATGCAGTTCGTAAATAAGAAAAGTTAACTCTGCTACGGGACACCTTGTTTATGTTATCTGTGCATAAAACTGTTGTCTGAGAGTAGTGGTGTTAAAAGAAGAGCTTCTCAAAGAGGAGAAAAAGTGGATTACATTTATGAGCAGGTTTTAACTCTTTCAGTTTTCCATCGGGGCATTCCTTCTTGTCCTGTCTTGAGAAGTGGGAAGAACACCCTAAAGATTAAGATTGCCAATATGCTCTGAGACTGTGAATTATCAGGGGTTGTGTTTGTCCATAGAGCATGCAAGGCTTGTATGAACAATAAAAAAAACTTGACACTGCATTTGTATGAGCATCAGCCCTGTTTCTAAGAAGGGTTTGAAATACAGAATGCTTTTAAATATAACTCATCAGAACTGACTTATTCCAATTTGAAGTAGGAGTGAGCCAAGAAATAAGGAAAGCAATATTTGGCTTAACTAGTGTTAAAAGCATCCAACCTTATTTCCCGCATGTTATGGCTATGTCAGGGAACACATGATTAATTTTTCTTGTAGAGTACTCTGCCAAGAACAGCTATGGGTGCAACAAACAAGCCCCATACCTCATCAGAATGTGGAAGTTTTGCATAAAACTGTTGGCTCACAAGAAAATGCTTAATGAATTTCCTTTCTCAGTTACAATCAATTACTTGAGGTGTGATTCCCAAAAGGCAAACCTTAGAAAAAGAAACTCCTCTGAATAACAACCTGGTTCCTTGTCTAGCACACGTATACAATGAGGATGTAAAAATAAGAATTTAAAAAAAAAATCAAACCAAGAAACTCATGTCAAAAAAGTGACTTTCTACACAAGACTCAAGAGACCTGCCTGCATCGCTTTTATGGAACTGAAACTCTATTGACTAAACTTGAATTTTTACAGAAAAAGGACCAGTTTTAGCAAAAAAAACAGGTAATAAGCCTAATCAAAGAACAGATCAACAAGACTAAAAGATGAGAATTTCTTCCCACTAAAACATACAAACTAAACCATATGTTTTGGACAGTTCCAGTCATTCTGTAGAAGTGGTACAGCTAAACTAACTTTCACATTGAAATAAAAAATGTGCAGAACTGGGAAATAGAATTAGTAACTGGACTCATGTGAGTCCCAAATGCACTGCATGACATTTAAATTTATGATAAAGAAAAAGGTCTTTTTAGAAAGATTTTACTTCCAACCTCAACATCGATCAGAAACATTTGCAGGTCCAGGATAAAAAATAAGCTAGAGTAAATACTATTTCTCAGCACAGTGAGTATAAAAGTTTTACTGTTCCTTTAGGATACATTATATCTTAGGTTTGAAGCCTTTCAGCCTTAATTATTTAAGAATTTTAAAAAGTTCTCATGTAGGATCTCTCTGTTGCATAGAAAAAAATGATTTACAGGGGATATTTAACAAAAGGAGACCTAGCTACAAGACATCTGGCTTTAATTCTTTGGTTAAAAACCTTGTAGTAATAACAGGTCAAATATAAGAACCCTTGAGGGAGAGAGGAAGTCATATGAATGAATTAGTGGCCCTTATAAAAGCTTGCCAACATCTGCAATAATTATGTGAATACATGGGGTTTTTGCTTTCTGTAGGAATATCTGGATGCAGGATCTAGTGGATTTTTGCAGTCCTGAATAAATTCTCTTTTCCTATATATTTGTTGATCTAATTTTTTCTTTCAGATGTCTGCTGCCCATATATAATGATTCCTGCTCCACTGTTGCTCCTTTGGAAAGAGGCCTGCTACACCTGGAAGAACACATATTTTTAGTTCAGAAATTTAAAATGTGGTAGGTATCATGTTTTTACTTTTTTTTTCTTCTTTTTTCTTTGTGTCTTTATTTTGCACACAGGCTTAGAATGTAAATTATTCCTTGATTTTGTAATATCCTCCACAACATTTGCATATGAAATCTGAATCAAGATAAAAAAAATTGACTTATTTACAAAATGCCAAGCCTAGGCTGCATGTATGAAACACTCATAAGAGCATGTAAAATGCCACAGAGTCAGACTTGTTAAATTTAAAGACATGACAGCACTTGAGCAATCTCAGAGAAGTCAGCACGAGGCTTACTTGCTGCTTCTCTCGTTTTGAAGACAGAAAAACAAAACACTGTTCACATAAGGGATTTTGGATAAGCTTTGTTTTTAGGGCATTCTAATCTAAAACCTGGGATCTCCTTCAAAAGTAGTCTTTTCACTCCCAAGGGAAAGAAGAGCACAAGAAGAGACAGTTTTCTGGCAAAAGTTCAAAAAGGGGACTTCCAGATGATCAGCTTTCTCAGATGCCAGCATATATCATAACGGAAGGTTTTGACCTCCCAGGTCACAAACATAAAAATCCCAAGGCATCACATTTAGTCATGATGCTGACTGGAAAGGCTCCAACAGGAGGCAAATGCAATGTATCTCTCAGTACTGAAAGTGTTAACATACCAAAAAGACATATGCACGCAGGCAGCCCCATCCCCTCTCCTGCCCCTGCAGGAAAAGGGGCAGGAAAGTTTATATTTTAATTTCCTGAAGTTTCACTCAGTGTGTTTCATTGCCTGTGTAAGCCAGATGTGTGGTGCCCTGAGATTTACCTCATCCATTCAGTGTATCTCAACAGAAGTTTAAAACAAACTAAGCTGCAAATTGCCTATGTTAACTAAAGCCTCTAGAGCACAACTGTGTAGAAAAAGAAAATATCTGAGTTATAAACCAACAAGACATATAAAGTAAGATGGAGTAAAAGCAGGCTAAAATCAAAATCCCCTCTCACCATATGCAGCTGACTCAAGATCCAGTTGTCCCAAAACACAGAACAAGAAAATTCCAAGAGTACATGGAGTTAAATCTCTCAGTATCATGAGAGGTAGTTATAACCTCAACACAGTACATGAAGACCAGGAAAATTGGCACCAGGACTTAATAAGCAAGACTCACTCTTGTTCTACAGTCAGAAAGTAGCCATCCAATGACTAGAACCTCACCTTCGCCTTTTCAGCCATTATTTGCTATACCTGTCTGGTTTTCTCCTTTCCTCCAGTTGTATGGGATAACACCACTGGGGTAGCAGTGAGGAGACTGGGAAGAAGAGCCATTGTAAGCAACTTTCCCATGTTTTGTGCTTGATTTATCTTACTGCTGCCCCACCTCTCCATCACAGCCTAAAGAACAGAGTGAGGATTTGAATCCACAGCATGGGGCAGCTTGACAGTGGGATGCCCTTGGGTGACTGGCCCATTACTCCCTGCCCCTCCTGGGGAAGAGACCAGATTGGAGAAGGCACTGGCTGCCTGGAGCAGGAAGGTGAGAGGAGATCTCTGGATTCTACCAGCTCAGTTGTGAGTGACAGCCAATTGGGTGAGGGCTGTGTATGGAGAGATACTTAGGGTGGAAAACAAGCACCAAAAAGTTTAACAACCACCACTGATTGATACTGCCTAAATGAAGCATTAGTTAGCACAAGGTGCCTGAGGGGCAAATGATCAGTTTAAAAACCCCTCTGCAATCTGAGAGTTTGGAGAGTTCCTTAGTCCACCCAACAGGGAAGAAAAAAAAAAAAAAGGACCCCTATCTCCCCACTCTCTGTATGCCTTGGTGCAGTTATTTCTTGCAGAGAGAAACAGACCTGAACATTCTTTGAATACTAAGGTCTGACTTTCACAGAAGTTTTCAAACCTGTAAGCCACAAAAATGAATCCATATTCAGGAAAACTCTTAAAAATATCTTAACCCTAAGCTCTCCAAACACAGCCTGCTCCTCTCTTTTTTTTTTTCCTTTACTGAATTAACCTTGACATGCTGCTATTTTCTCACCCAGAACACAGAGGAGATGAAATACAATTTATTCGGCTAATATGGGAATGGCAAACTAAGACTAGAGATAACTGTCTTACATCTTTACATTTAGTGCAGCAGCGAATGGAAAATCAGTAGCACTGCTTTCAGCTTAGGTAAATACTCTTAAGCTTACCAACATACCAGAAGAGCTACAGCTGAAAAACTTCAGGAAACTGCCAACTTCAAAATCCCCAAAGAAGAGTATAAATTAATATCTTTAAAATAAGGATAAACAAGTAAGTATAGGAATAATTGAACCAATATGTAAATACTTTCTCAACCCACAACTGCTAAACATGGCCTTTATGAAAGTAAAGTTGTAACAGATGAGGAAAAAAAATCCAATTTGCAAAAAGTTTCTCTACTACCTAATGAAAAGCATAAACTATTTTTCAAACTGCAGAACACAAAAGAAACAAAAGCTTTAAAATAAAGGGAAAAGAAGTGTTTCCTTTAAAGATAAAAGTAGAAGTTAAAAAACCTTATGTACAGATACATTTTCATCTGCAGAATGAAAGCATAAAACTCTACCACCAACATCTAAGAGCTCCTCCTCTTCAAAATTTCATCTTCCAAAGTAATTCACTCAACGAACGGACTTTAAGAAAAACCTGTATGATAAGATATGGTGATTTGGTCCCAGCAGGCTACTTCATTTCACTAGGCTCATTTTGCCCTTCACATAGCTGAAAAGACAGGAGGAAATTAATCTCTCTGTAAGGGGATCTCTTTAACTCCGTTACAACATGATAAAGCATGAAGTTACTTAAGGATCGTGTGGCAACAGCTAGCATCTCCAGTAATTT